CCCCCTCCCCAACGTACGCCCCTCAACGTACCCCCCCTCAACGTACATCTATCTATGTTAATATCAACAGTCATAACTGGTTCACTTCACTGCACATTAGTTCATTTGTTGTTTCGCTTATTCGTACTCAATTATTTTCAGCTAACTGAGATAAATTGCTAAAGCAAGCCCTTCAAAAATATTTTTCTCCTGTCAATGATGCAAGTTCATAGCAACGATGCAAGTTCTGAAAAAGGTGCACGATTAAATCTAGACCAAATCGCGAAATGCTTACAACAGTAATCTATTACTATCAAATGTTTTGCGCTTCAGAATGTTAGTCTATATTTCAGATGTTAATCTACTCTTTCAGGGCAGCATGGTCTAACGGATAAGGCGTCTGACTTCGAATCAGAAGATTGGGTGTTCGAATCCTTCTGTCGTCGACATTTTATTATTAAATCTGCGCGGTTTTTGAGCGGTTTTTTTAGATAAACTGCTCAAAACCGTTCAAATCTTGCGCGGTTTTTGAGCGGTTTTTAGATAAACTGTTCAAAAAACCGCTCAAAACCGCTCATTTTGAAGCAAGATTTTGAGCGTAATTGTCTAAAAAAACCGCTCAAACCGCTCAAATCTTGCTTCAAATTAGGTGAAAAATCTCGACTCGGGCTACGATTAGACATTTTCAATACAAATCTTGGGTGGATGTGTTTAGTTGCGCATTATCTTCTATCGTGAGCAACCCGGAACTGGTTTTCAATTGGTTTGGTTCAAGTTGAGACTACTAAACCAAATCAGAACACAAACAGGTCAATAGCAAATACAAATTAAAGGAAGATTTAAATCTAACTCTCATGAAAAATCAAATGGATAAGCAAACACCTTGAGTTAGGCTGAAAACTAATTCTTTTCAAAGCAATCATCGTGGAAGAAATATTTGGTTATCTTGAGAACAGAATCACTGTAAGTTAGAACAACGTTGCACCTCAAATCGGCTCTGTGTACCGATTGTGTGAATTAGATGTAGAATATTTGCCTTTTTACGGCCCAAGAAACAGATGAAAAACGCTGATTGTCGACTGTTATTCAAAATAAGATCGGATTCCCTCGAAGTAAATTTCGGGTTGATGATAACGAAATATTAAATTGAATATTTGACATTTATAATTGATAAAAATGACCACAGTTAGGTGTTTTAAAATATATATTCGATTTTAATTGTGATACTTTTCAAAAAAATCTTCAATTTTGTGATGTATTGTCAACCTTTGGCTCATCGGAATACAAAGACTTACCAGGAAACAAAAGTTTCATAGTTTTTCTTTCATACTAGTTGAGAGGTTCCCCCGGTAGTTGAAAAATAAATCTTCCAACCGAATAATAGAACTAACGCAGTTCACTGATTTTTTGGTGATTAAAAGAACTTAAAATATGTATCATGAGGCAACTTTAGAGGAAAAAAAGAAAAAAAAACGTTTTAACTTTGAATTGATTTTAAAAAATTTAAAACACTGTTTTAATTTTTCATATAAGCAAAGCTTATGAAAAGCGTTTAGTATTACCAACTCGAAATCATTTTGGAAAAAACTGGCAAACAAAAAGGATTATAGTTGATTATAATCAATTACAATGGATTTTTTGTGCAAAAACTTTGAAAATGATTTTAACAGTTGCAAAAAATGGATTAACAATCGATTCTAATCGATAGAAATTTTTTATAATGAAAGGGAAGGTGGTTTCAAAACGAAAAATTATAACCGAGTATTAAACACTTATTAACAATTTTTCTCTAGTTTAGTAAAAATGCTACTGATATCATAATATTATCAATTATTAACGCTTAAAACTGGATTCGGGGATTTCTAGGACGGAATAAATCTCCGCTTTCGATTTAATAGCGTGAAATATATCGCGGGTTCAGTAAGAGACCAAACTGTGTTTTTTTTGTAATATGTAGTTGGATTCCGCAACAAGGACGGTCTCGTTTTACTTCTTTTGTTCTTTCAATTTCTTTGACCGTTGGGACAAAATTCTAACATGTTTAAAGACTTTTCTCTGGATTCCAGAAACCTATACACACAATTTTTTGCCTATTGAGAGCATTGTTTGACCTTGTAATGTTATTTTCCCAAATTCTCTAAATTGGCCATCTTTAAACTCCTAAAAAATAATCACAAGTGGAAAAACTTTTCCAATTGAGCTCAAGACAACCACACTTTTCGGCTGATACAAAAAATGCAGCTAAAAGGCCAAAAGTTATGAGGAAAAAATCACCCAGAGCAGAAAATTTTCGACTCTTTCTTTGAAAGTCAAAAAAACATGCAAATAACTTTTAATATCAGCACAGCAGAAATTTGTGAAATGGTTTAACTGACCAAAAAGTCAGTCTGATTGTAGCAGCACTTTGTGCAATTGTTCTTTTGATTGTAATTTAATTTGATTATAGTTTGTCACGCCTCAACCATTGCTTAGACTAGCAAGACTGCTCGTATATCAGGGCAAATTTTTCGGTTGAGTAATTGACAAAAGTAATTAAAAAAATAAAAGATTTTTTTAAAAAAAATCTTTTCTTATTTTTATCCCCTACGCGCTATGCTTCGTACTAAGGGTGTGTTAAGCGTCTCGTATTGTTATAATAGATTTAGATTGATGTCCCCAACTTACTTTGGAACGCATTAAGTTGCTTCTTATGTGTGTTATAATTATGCAAATTAACGCACTTAAATTTGCCCATATTGGCGAAAGTAGCAATTTTCGATTGCCCGATTTTACGAAAAATGATCACAGGTGAAATATTTTTCAACGAGCTCAGAATAACAATATTCCTCTGATGGTATAAAAAAATTCTGTCAAAAACGTTCAATTAAAAAAAGTTGAAAATTGAATGAATAAAAAAAGCACACCAAGCTTAGTTGATCCGCAATGTCTTCGAAAGTCGGGACAACAACGGAAGGGGATTAGAGGCAAAGTGAGCAAACTGAAAGATACTGTGTTATCTCTCGTTCGACAGAATATTTCTGACTATTAAAATAATTTTTTTTGGATTGATATAATACCGTAATTTTGAGTGAGTTGTGATTCGCTTTCAAGGGAAATTGTCTGAAATCTATAAAAACATTGCATTGTAAACTACTTGTCACTTCATTACCTCTCTTGACACTTTTCTTAAAATTAGTTTTTCACGATTGCGGGGTAAATTTTCGGGATACTCTCATTTTGATTCAAAATAAAAGAAGCTAGTTTCCGAGTGCGGTTGTCTGACTGAAAACAATTCCCAATGTTTTAAGTAATCTGTTTTAAGTAAAAAATTTATTCCGAGTTTTGTAAAGCAAAGTTTATAAGATCGTGGTCTAAAAATGCCGATAGAAAGTTTAAAACTAAACACTGATGCAATTGTTCTTCATATTTTTAATCCGTTTCGTCTCATCTGTCGAACTCAGTAGGTCGTACTTTCGTGATATGAGATCGTAAACTGTTGCTGAATGCTTTATGCTCTATCTTTGGCAACTCAACAGCCTGTCTCAAGTTTTCATCCAGTCTGCTCAAAAACTGCAGCTGATACAAAGACCTCGGCGCTCGTTTTTTCTGTCCTCCTACGATTGGCGGCAACACACAAGTCGGTCGACCTGAGTACTTCATTTCGGGGCTTTTACTCGACCCGTTTTGGGATTGAACATCTCTGAAAAGAAGTTGTTCACTTTTCAAACTCTCTCGGTTAGATCTCGATGCCTCTTTTTTCTGATTGGTTGACGAAGAAGTGTCCAGAGCTTTTATTGAATCCGAGTCTAAATTATTTGTCGACTCAATTTGCAACTGTGAGCTCGGCATCATTATTTTGCGAATTTTGTTTCGTCTCCTTTTCATATTTTTCTCGAAATCCAGTGTAACTTTGGGTAAACTTAAGAAATCCTCGATAGATTGCTTTGTGTACATTTTGCCCATTTGTTCCCAACTAAGAGCTGTTTTTGCGTGATTCGCAATGTTTTCGGCAAGTGTTTCCGAGTCGATTAAGTTTTGAGACATGAAGTGTATTTCTCGTCTGTAGAGTCCGCTTTTGAGTCGTCTTTCGCGTTCTACTGAGCGTAAGTAGTGTAACAGTCGGTCGGAATCTTGCTTGCATTTCTTATCCGCCATTTCCATTAAGCTCCGAGACCTAAATCCGAAGCCCTCATTAATGAACTGTAATCTCTAGCTTAAGAAAGTCTGCACTTAATTTTTTGCATGTGTTTCAAAATTTCTCTGGCGTCACATACATTCTTTCAAATAAAGGCTCTCCATAGTGTAATGGGAAGACTCGCAAAATAAATTTATTCGACCTAAAAAACTTGACAAAATTTCGAAAACGTGCAAAAGAAGCACACTAGTGTGCTTCTTTTGCACGTTTTCGAAATTTTGTCAAGTTTTTTAGGTCGAATAAATTTATTTTGCGAGTCTTCCCATTACACTATGGAGAGCCTTTATTTGAAAGAATGTAT